GGCTATGGTCGCGCAAGGTCAAAAGTCGCCACATTTGAATTTTGACAATTTCGCATAACCAAACTTTCTACCTCTTTCACCGTGTGTTGGGGTTTTGGTGTTGTTGGTACTTTTCGCTTTTGGTGGTTGGCACCACTTGCGCCGCTCTCGCAGTCGTCGAACCGCAAAACAACGATCGTGGTCGCGCGGGTTTTCGATAAATACAGACCGCCGTAGCCTTAATAACACCCAGACGCTTCGGCGTCCGCGTGGAAGTCACACAAAATGGCGTCCGAACACCGTTGACCAATGATATATGCGCGCGCGCGTGCGGCCACGTTCCGCCTGTTAGGCTAAAGCGGAATTAATTGCAATAGTTTTACGATTACAGGTCGCAATAGATTACTAATTGGGCGGTGTGGAATGCTACAAACAGCCAGAAGCAAATAACTTTACTCACAACTCCTCCTGTTTGGTATAAATTGTAAATAAATAATTTTAAAAATTGTAAAATTAGGTTAAATATAAAAATGAATTGGAAAATTTGTTAATAAGCGCATAACTCAACAACCCCTAGACCAATTTAGGCAATTTTTTCTTTAAAATGTTTGTTGAAGCCCAAGGATGGTTTTTACGGCGTGAAAAATTCGAATAATTGCCGGGAAAACCATAAAAACAACCTTTTTCTATAGGATAAAAGTTGGCATTGAGATTCAATCATAGTTATAGTTAAATAGTTGGATCCGAGATGGCGCGCTGAAGTGCATTATTAGCAATTCATTATATAATTAATTTCTTTAAAATAAAATTGCGAATCTTATTGATAGAATTGTCACATACTATGTCTAGAACAAGAGACTAAAAGCTAATTACATTTTTATTAAACACTACCGGGACAATAACACGAGCAAAAATATTTAAAAAGTCTTAAAATTAGGTTAGATGATGAATTTTGACAGTTGTCATTTTTCAAGGTTAAAATTGGCGCATGATCGTAAACAGTAAAGAGTCTAATGATTAACGACAGATAAATAGCTTCATCTTTCCAAATTAATCACACGCTGCGAGCGCATTCGGCCGCAGTAACACCACCACCCCCTCCTGTGCACGAAAACAGAAGAGGCGGCGCATTATACAGCTGCTTCCTCAGCGGCGAATTAATTAATTCATTAGCATCGCATCTCATCGTATCTCATCCGCGATGTTGGCTCCGCTTTCCGTTTTCCGATGCTTCTAACTTACAACCCACGCCGCCGCCGCGATGAACATGCGAAATTTTTCGTCTGCGCCACTTCCGCCCGCATTCTTATGGGGTGTATATATTTATTACGTATTTCATCCCCTAAAAGAGAAAAAGCCTTACAAATCAATTGAAATCGGCTAAACGCAGTAAAGTTCGCTGACTTGGGGCGGCTGGCTGTAGGCCAAATAAGTTTTTACCCAAAGTACGGTAATAATTTTCGGTGACACTCGGTATAAACGACGCTGCGATACAACACTATCGCCGATAGTATACGAGCACTATTATCGGGACAACTTTTACGATCAATCCACTGTCTGTCGGGCGCATGCAGTGCGGCGTGGTGGGAGGAGGGAAGCGAACGCTATTCGATTGGCAGCGATTTCAGTCAGTTTCGTCAGTTTGACATTTTGCAAAGTGCCGTTGAGGGCGGCTGGCGTGGAATGGTAGAATGAAAAGTGGTCCGGACGAGAATGAAGAACGAATGTTACATTTTGGCACAATGCATAATTTGTCTCTGGGACGCATCAAAACATCAAAAATATCATAACCTCAATTTTACACTAGTAAAACGCCAAACAAAAAAATTAAAAATTGAAAAAAATCAATAAAGACATTTTAATGCAATAATCCTAATAAGAATTATATAATTTTATTAAAAATATTATTAACTTTCATCCCTTATTTAAAACCCTTCCAGTTAAAATTTCGCGATAAAAAGTAGCCTACTTATTATTCCTCTGTCATAAATATTTGTATACCAAAATTTATCAAAATTGGTTCATTGGTTTTTGCTGGAAAGCGTCACAAACAAACATTCTAGTAATAAATAAGATATTATAATATTTGTTGAATATAGTATACTTTCTGCATTAACTACCATTCACCGTGAATGTGATATTCTTTATTTTTTATGCCTGTACACTTCTCAAGCTCCTCCGCATGCAGATGGTTGCAAAGTGGAAGCAGTACATCAATTCCGTAAATGCATAAATCGCAACGGCAGGCGTCGTCGCCCGGAAATATGCTGAAAGCTCAGCTGCAACGCGATCGCATCCATGCAGCTCCGGCGCCTCCACCAACGCGTTTTATGACTCGCAATAATAATTTCCTGGCGCGCGAACATTGAGACGAAATCATTTATTCGATATTTTTACATTTTTACAACATTTACATTTCTCATGCACTCCGGCAAACAAGTAAAACATTTTATGCATTTATCGAGTTTGGCATGTCGTGATTTTTTAGAATTTTATTTTATAAGTTTCCGGTTTATAAAAAAATCAACCAATTGGAGAAAATAAAATAAACTGTTTTTGTTGTAGTTGTTTTTCAAGTGCTCGTTTGCACCGAAATGAATCCGGATCTTTCGTGCGAGTTGTTTTTTTGATGACGTGCGAACGATCCCGGAAGCAAAACGATCGCGCTAGATATGTAGCCCCTCGGGGGATAATGTTGCGCCGGACGTCGACGACACATACCAAACTCTATCCAAATCCGACATCTATACTGAACGTTTACAGCAAAACAATTTAATTACATAGCGGATATTTCAAAAACTGCATATTTTTAATATAGGCAACCAAATATACATTCTAATGGTGTTATTTTTTAATGTCGCGTGTGGGGAAAGCGCAGAGCTCATGGTGCGTAACCTAAATATTCGCGATAACAGCTCGCGGACGTGCGGAAATACCCCCGAGGGCACAACGGACTAGATGCATAAAGGATTGCCGAAAATTGGGTTCTATTGTAATTATTATTTTAACCCCTCTCTCTCCCTCTCTGCGTGTGCACGCGCAGCTTTTGAATTAGGGACTGGGTGCAAAAGGGGCAAATTTCAACACTTAAAATTCGCAATTCGTGTATTTCCCGAATGCCCGAAACAGAGATTATCTCTAGAGCAAATCAAAAGGGGAGCGCTTTTCTTTGTTGTTCTTTGCGCAAAATCCAATTGCGTGTGTGCACGGCGCGACAATTCGTATAGCGCATTTATTGGAAACGAAAAGGATGCTCGTAAATTATTGGAAAATGGCATATTGCGCGATTCAAACAATGCGGAAATAAAGTTTTCCTCGCAAAATGGAATGCGTTCAGTTTTATGCGCACTGCAAGCGAACCAAATTGAGTAATAATTTATTATAAATTAAACTTTCACAAATAAAATGCAAACAATTCATTAAAATATTAATTTTGGAAAACAATTGCAAGTAAATATATTATTCACCGTGATGATATAACAAACTAGCTTTTGGCCGCGATGTTATCCCGGTACTGTTTAATAAAAATGTAATTCGTTTCTACTCTCTTGTTCAAGACATAGTATGTGTCAATTCTATCAATAAAATTCGCAATTTTATTTTAAAGAAATTAATTATATAAAGAATTTCTTATAATGCACTTCAGCGCGCCATCTCGGATTCAACTATTTAACTATAACTATGATTGAATCTCAATGCCAATTTTTAACCTATAGAAAAAGGCTGTCTTTAAGGTTTTTCCAGCAATTATACAAATTTTTCTTGCTGTAAAAACCATCTTTAGACTTTAACGAACATTTTAAAAAAAGAATTGGCCAAATTGTTCGAAGCGTTTTTGAGTTATGCGCTTACCAACATATTTTGCGATTCATTTTTAAATTATCGATTAAACATTCACAAATAAAACACAAACGATTCATTAAAATATTTATTTTGGTAAACAATTGCAAATAAATTTATTATTCACTATAATAATATAATAAATATAATATTTTTTGCTTTGATTGTGACATAGATGAATAAAAAGTGACGTTTTCCTAGAAATGATTCCATCATTTCTATTTATGCGAGCACAAAAAGACGGAATACAATGGCGACGCTTTTTAGGTCGAGCGCTAGCCACCAGACGTCGCCACAGTCATTCAACTTATACCGGCCAAAGGGCTCCGTTGTACGCTGTCGTTTTGTCGCTGTGTAGTCGTAAATATTTTTTCGGTCTGTTTGCGATCATAAATCTACGCCTCTGATATCTCGCGAGCGACAGTGAGCGAGTGCGTTCGCACATGCCGGCGAAGGGCGGTGGGCGAACGTCTAGCAAGAGCCACACATTCGGCGGACAAAAAATGTTTCTGATATTTCATTGTTGCTATATTATATGTGGCGGGAATTAATCATTTTCAACGCGCGCGCGAGCCTGAACTTGGCCTCTTGTAGTTGTAATGTAACGAGCATAACAAGCGAGAATGAAAAGGGAAAAAAAGAGGAAAAAAATTGCGGAAAACTTTTCTGATTATGATTGTGATTGTAGGGGTTATGTGAGGTTATTGTTTGGGCGCTTCAAATGTTCTTATTGTAATTAAAATATTGGTATATATTACAGTTTATCGGGAAATTAATTCAAGAATAAAAATTACGCTTTAAATTTCAAAAAAAAAATTTAAAAATTTCCAAAATATAAAAATTAAAAAAACCGGCTTTTTTCAAACAGTTTTACTACAGAGTGTTGTCTTGTAAACACCTTGTATAATTACGTTAGCAAAAAAACTTGATAGATAATACCACACAATCAAAATTTGCGTAAAAATTGATTTGTTATTGTTTTTTTATTGTGAAATTGTTGCCATGTTGCGATACATATCACAATTTAATAAATCTACTTAACATATTCACTTTCTACGAATTGTGATTTGAAGTATTTAATTAATAATTCACATTAAATATAGTTTTTATTAATGATTATTGATAAAACTTTAATATCTGTGGGTATATAAGTTGGAGGAATATTCACCTGGAATATAATCGATTATAATTTGTTTACCAAATTAATTGATACTGAAATTCAAGATGAAAGGTAAGCATTCATTAGTTTTACAATTAATACTTAATATAACAATTTTTCTGATTTATTTCAGCTGTTTTTCAAATCGTGGCTGTGTGCCTATTTATCCAACTGGTCTTAGCTACGAAACAGGAACCTGTTTGCGACGTAGTGTGCCCTAAAAATCCCATGTATACCGTGCAAGTACCATACACTGGCGATTGTACTAGATATTGTCTTTGCACAATTAATGGCAACTATAAGAAGGATTGTCCTGAAGGTCTACACTTTAATCCTGTGTTAGAAGTTTGTGATTGGCCATTAAGTGCAGGTTGCATTGACAGTCTTTATTAAATTTGTGTTTATTGTATATGAGTGCATAAAATAAATACTTAAAACCACATTGATTCATCTATTTTTATTTTTAGTTTTATTTAAAAATCTGTTTTGAATGATTAATACATTATGATAAATGCATATTTATTTCATAAAACCATTTTTGAATAATACCTATCTTATTATTAGGATTACAAATTTAAATTAGTTCAAAAAGAGTAAATACTTAATAGTTCAATCAATCTAATGTTTAACAACGTTTAGCCACGTGATGCTTACGCTATTTTTTCTACTTTCACTCTAGTTCCACGTTGCGGTTTTTCTATTTCAACTTTTGTATTTTAAATCATCGAAATTTGCTCACACACTTAAACTGTAAGGTTATAAGTGCCATGCCGTGCGCCGGCCCATGCGACGCTTCGGTTCATATTGTGCCGCTCCGATACGAGCAGCAGCAGCGCCTGCTTTAACGTGTTTGACTGACGTCGCATGGCATTTCTTATCGCCTTGTGCTGCTCCGTAGGCAAATGCGCAGGCGCTTGCTCCGTCCCGTGCATAATGCAAGTACATAATGAATATTATGTAGGTACGACTTTTCCGTTCGTATATAAAATACCACTTTTTGTGTCTAAAAACCATGGAAAAACTGGCGTTTTATAGGTGGAAATAGAAATATAAAGTATATAATAAATTGGTTATTATTTAAAACTTAAACTTAATTATTTTATTTCATTATGTCGATTTTTAAACGGTTTTCGTTGTCCAGGAATGAAAAAATAAATAAAAATAAAAATTTATAAATTAGACAATTATAGTCTTAACTGATATAAAACAATTAATCAAAATCAAAATTCTCAAAAGTGATTAATACACTTGATGATACAATTCAAGCCTAGTTCTAAGAAACCGAACAACGCATTTGAAATAAATATCAATTAGAGCAACATTGATTAAGCACTTCGAATCAATTTAATCTACTAAATTATTATTAATTAATAAAATTCTGTTTGAAGCAAAAACATCGTAAATAATTAATTTCAAGCATTAAATAATAATAAAAGCATAAATGGGCTTAACAAAATGATACTTTGATCAATGTCACATCCGGAAATCACCGAATCACGAATATAATAACTAATTACTCCGAGTGCACGCGCGCTCGTTGCGGTCAGACGACAATCATTACACGATTTTAATCTGGAAAGCTCGTTCGGTGTTCTATTAAAATTTGAACCATTCGAATTTATCTGGTTAATATTGTAGTAGCGCATTAAATTTGTCCGCATTATCCTGATGCGAAAAACCACAGAATTGCATCTAATTTTAATTCAATTCGTTTTGTTTATTAAAAAATAATTTCTACCAAAACATAAATATTAATTAATATTCAATGGTTCATTTATTTAGTTTCAAGAAAAGGAAATTTGAAAAAATACTAAATTATAGTGAAATTAAAAATGTGAAAAGAACGGAAATGGCGAGATTGGTCACAGTTCAACCGGAAGTTATTTGCATAATGGCTATTTGTGTTAATTTCATTTAATAAAGTGGCCGATAATTGCATTTACTTGATTATCTGCAAACTAAATGAATTTTATTCATAATTTTGTTAAAGAAATTCATTACTAGTTATTTGCTTTGATTTTACTATAGGCAACTAATAATACAAACATTTTTATTAGTTTTTTTTTTCAATTTCATCAAAATTGTTACATTAAACTTTATATTTTTATTATTTTTTTAACTTCCACCTTTAAATCGGTAGATTTTACACGGTTTTGAGACACCAAAAGTGCTACTTTAAACATGGGCGGCCTAGACCGTGACTAAAGTACTTTAGTCACGGGATGTCGTGCGTTTATCACCTTACATTTCGCAGTAGTGTGCGAGCAAATTTCGAAGATATAAAACGCAAAAATTTAATTACGAAAATATTAACGTTGTTAAACAAAAACTTAAGTTTAACCACTTAATACTTAATATACTATAATATGTGCTAATCTACATTATAGAGGTTATATCAACTTTTTACTACTACAACACAAAAAAACAAGATGATATAACTTATAAAATATTCTTTTCTGATAAACCTTTCCATTTTATGGCTTCCAACTGTTTAGTACGCTATTATTCCATGTAAATCTTTTGATTTTATGAGCTTCGAAATTTTACCGAATTCCAAACATACCGCAACCCAGATTACACAAATATATAAAAATATATAAGCCTACCACAAGAGTCGGAAACGACATACTTCAACATTATATCTCAATATTTATGTTTATTTAACTGCGCACACAAAAATGCGGCATCGCACAGCCGTCATTGTTTCTCTATTGTCGCCGTGAAAAATTCGCTGCAACTTGCGGCGACTGTATGAAAACTGTTTGCAGCGGTTGGCGGTGAGCTTTTATGTTCACTTCAGCGTCTTTCAGGCGCTCGTAAATATTTGTATTTGCATAAAGTATATAAAAAATTCGAAATTTGAATATAATACAAAGTTTGCCATTCGCGTCGTCGTTGCTACTTCTCACTGCTTGTTTTATTTTTGGTTCTAAAGCAATAGCAAGACACTCGATGCAGAAAACGGGCGGAAAAGGTCCGAATGGGTTGGTTACTTTTGTGTAGGTATAATATCGTAAAACTTTCCCTTCGCAGGTCTCCATTCTATTCCGTATGCCGCGAATGCATGGATTCTACAATCCGAAATTCTAGAAGTCTTGCAACAAGCAGCGGAATATTAAGAAACAGACTTAAAGGGTAAGGAAACCTCGCGAAATTTTACCAAACCGAAACATGAAGCACAAAAAAAAACAAAAGAACACCGAATATAAATGAAGAAAGGGAATTCGCCACGAGTCGACCCTTTTTTGTATTTTCATTTTCATTTTCATTTTGTTTATTATTACGTCTGTTTGTATGCGTACCGCATTTATATTTATATTCATTGAAAGGCTTCGTTTTAACTCGTTTTCCATTGGCGATTGCGAACATTTACATTTTGCACAAACGCGGAAATTGGAAACCGTCATTTTTTGTTGCGTTTCGTTTTATTGATAAAATTCAAAAAATTTACTTTAAGCTTTTTTAAAGTATTGCATTCATTGAGGTTGTGGACATTATTTTAAAATTGCCTTTTTACGGAGTCAGCTTATTGTTATTTTTATTTTTCGTCTGTTTTGTTATGGAAATTGAATCGATGCTATTAACATATGAATTCACGATATCCATAACATAAAGATGTGATTGTGGAGATTTGCAGTGAACTCGAGTCAAGTTTCATATCCGGGGTACTCGTTTTAGTGAGACGTGAATATTGCAGATGGGAAAATGTTGAATTTTTGCCTTTTAAAACTTTTAATAGCTAATGTAATATTTATAATATAAAAATGAATCGCAAAATCTGTTGGTAAGCGCATAACTCAAGAACGCTTACACCAATTTGGCAAATTCTTATTTTAAATGTTTGTTGAAGTTCAAGGATGGTTTTTACGGCGAGAAAAATTGGAATAATTGCCGGGAAAACCCAAAAGACAGCCCTTTTCTATAGGATAAAAGTTGGCATTGAGATTCAATCATAGTTATAGTTAAATAGTTAAATCCGAGATAGCGCGCTGAAATGCATTATTAGCAATTCTTTATATGCATAATTTCTTTAAAATAAAATAGCGAATCTTATTGATATAATTGACACATACTATGTCTAGAATAAGAGAGTAAAAACAACTTACATTTTTATTAAACACTACCGGAACGAAGTTACGGGCAAATGCAAGTTATAAATGCAATTGTCTTTTTTTAAGTTTGTTTGTGACGGTTTCACGAAAAAACTACTTCACAAATTTTGATAAATTTTGGTATAGAGATACTTTTGAGCATGGAAAAGTAATTAGGCTAAGAAAATATCTAAAAAATATTTATAATTGTATAATTCTAATAGAAATGGCGCTAATGTAGGAAAATAGCATGTTTCATATCTTAAAATAAATTTTACAATTTTATTAACGAATTCAGCACATAATAGGACCAAAACAATTAAAGTAACAAAAATAAGAAAAAATGAAACAAAAAAATGAGTGCACAAACTTCTGACATTCCGATTGGATGCGTCATTCACTTGCTTCCTCAATCTTGGAGTGTTGCCTAGGCTTTCTGTTGTCCGACACATTTTTCCACAAGGCCACAAGCAAAAGATGAAATCAAAAGACGTAAAAACCGAAGAAGAAAACCTTAACCAAGTGGAAAAGAGGCGGCAGCAAAGGGTAGAATAAAAAAGAATGCTTAAAGCAAGAGAGGCTTCTTTATTAGAAGAATCCCTCGGTCCAATCCCATTTACTCATTTCGGTTAGGGCGCTTGCAGCGGACGCGTATTCTCCACGCGCCGAATTGCGGATGATAACACTTCTGACCGAATACTCATCGGCGCAATGCCTCCCAACATTCGCCACGCGTTAATTAACACCAACAGAGGACCGAAACGATTGAAACAAAGCACAACGCACCAAACACCAAATAATGCACATCATATATTTCCTTACTTAATGCTTCTTTAATCAAAACCAGTATTAAAATAGTATTATATAGTATTTAGGTACTTTATATACGGACGACCAAGCCGTACATAATATTCATTATGTACTTGCATTATGCACGGGACGGAGCAAGCGCCTGCGCATTTGCCTATGGAGTAGCACAAGGCGCTATGAAATGCCATACGACGTCAATCAAACACGTCAAAGCAGGCGCTGCTGCTGCTCGTATCGGAGCGGCACGATATGAACCGAAGCGTCACATGGGCCGGCTCGCGGCATGGCACTTATAACCTTACAGTTTAAGTGTGTGAGCAAATTTCGATGATTTAAAATACAAAAGTTGAAATAGAAAAACCGCAACGTGGAACTAGAGTGGAAGTAGAAAAAATAGCGTAAGTACCTCGTGGCTAAACGTTGTTAAACACTAGATTCATTAAATCTCGTCTGTAATGCCCTCGTTCAGCCACTTGTTACTTAATATACTATTAACGTTTAAAAAACATTTTAGAAACTCACAACTAGTGTAATTAACTATTTTCCGGTACTACCGGAAGTTAACAAAACATCGCCATTGCTTAAAGCTGTAAATTGCACAGAAATCGAATGTAAACATTCCTGCCAACTCACGAATACAATACGTACTAAATGAAAATATCACTCAGTTGGAGTATTCAATTGGGATTACATGTAATTGCCTACATGATAACGATAACACACATGGTTGTTTTGATATCTGAATTAATTATGCCCGGGTTATATTAAACATGTATTATTTATGCTTTAACCAAACATTATCGTTTTAAGATGTATGCAACCCAAATAACTTGTTTTGGTTGAATGTACGCACGCGCGAATTTATGAATGTTGTTAGTAGCGCATTACCAATTGAGATTGAGATTTACGAGGAGCGGCCTCAGCTAATTCTGATTACCGATTCAATGTCTCATTCCGGTTGCCTCGAGTTCGACTTGTCCCTTTCGCCCGCAATTCGTGGTTCGACTCAAAAGCCACCGCGCACCGCTTATATTTATGTATCGAATAAATTTCCGCCGGCCCGTTTGTTAGATTAAATTACCCATGCGCAATAGAATTTTTAGCAATTCTTAGGCAACCCTTTGTGCGCTCCGAAATTACGTGCGCTGAAATCTTTCGCGACGGATTTATACAATGTGTAATAATAATACATGCGATAAAAGTTTACAATTTGCGAAGGAGATTGTGTGCGTGTAGTGGCAGAGAGAATTTTATTATGAATTATACGTTAGGCAAATTCGACGTGCGTTCGCTTCGTAGAAGCGGCGAGGTTTTATGAAGCTATTTAGTATGCTTTATGGGGTCCGCATCCAATTTTGTCGCGCTTTGACAAACTGCGCGTTCCTCTGTCCTGCTGCTATTCTATTTGATAATAACGTCCCGCGCGCGCGGACGAAATTTATACCCCATCAGGATCAGCGTTATCTACTCGTTTCGGCGTTCTCGCGACGTCTTTTTATTTCGCGGCGCACGTATGCCTACGACATATTCATGAGATTGATGCGTACACATTGGGTAATAATCTGGGTTTTTATTATCTGTGGCGGTCGAGGAAGTATGTATCACTGCTGGATGTATGTGGGTGTGAATGGCCATTAACATATCTATAAAATTATTTCATTTTAAAAATGATATTTCATTTTCTATTATTAAACCAGTATGGTTTTTTTCTATAAATTACGAGCTTTTGCCTGCAACTTCGTTCGGATAGTGTTTAATAAAAATGTAATTTATTTTTACTCTCTTGTTTTAGACATAGTATGTGTCAATTCTATCAATAAGATTCGCAATTTTATTTTAAAGAAATTAATTATATAAAGAATTGCTAATAATGCACTTCAGTGCGCCATCTCGGATACAACTATTTAACTATAACTATGATTGAATCTCAATTCCAACTTTTATCCTATAGAAAGGGCTGTCTTTAAGGTTTTTCCGGCAATTATTCAAAATTTTCTCGCTGTAATAACCATCCTTGGACTTTAACAAACATTTAAAAAAAAGAATTGGCCAAATTGGTCTAGGCGTTGTTGAGTTATGCGCTTACCAACAGATTTTGCGATTCATTTTTATATTATAGGTGGCACGTTTTATTTTTAGCTTAAAAATAACTTTTTTTTACTTCCACCTATAAAACGCCAGTATTTCCATGGTTTATGCACAGAAAAAGTGGTAGGTACTTTATATACGGACGGTCAAGACGTGAGTAAAATACTTTATCTACGGGCCTTTTCTACGAGGTAGAGCTTGCATCTGCGCATTTGCCCACGAAGCAGCATTTTAACGCCATCTTCATACGAATTATATAACAATACCTATGATTTAATCATTTTTCATCCCTGTTTTTATACCCTTCTGATTAAATTATCAAAAGAAAGTGTCACAAATAAACAAAAAATTATTTATAGCGTAATTCTAAAACAGGTTGACCCATTTTCATCAACTTTAGTTTCGTATTTCATACATTTTAAAATTTTAGCGACGAAAAACTAATAGAACAGAGAATTCCTGGAAGTATCTATAAGCCTGCAATGGTAGAACTGAAGATGCTCTGCTCTTATCCTTTTCATGCGCGTGGAAGCCTTTGAAATCTTCGCGCGGCGCGCGGAGCAGATGTAAGCAGCTCGCAAACTTTACAATGTTACTAGTTCGATGGCTCATAACGAATCGAATTTATCGCGAGCGCTCAGAACCTCTCGGCTCGAACCGCACATGCGGTTACACGCGAAGCCATGCTGACGATGTTAAAGCACCTCTACAACCTCCACTACCACCCCAAACCATCTTTAACCGCCATTGCACCATCTACAACAACATTGTGCTCTGCGTCTAGTCTTCTTCCTAAAGCACAAGGAGAGGATATTTACAATAATCATTGTTGGTGTGTTATTGTGATAGAAACTAAATTAAACGCATAAAATATGTGATGAATGTTTTCTTACTCGCTTACGCTTATCTATAATATAAAAATGAATTGAAAAATATGTTGGTAAGCGCATAACTCAATAACGCCTTGACCAATTTGGCCAATTCTTTTTTTAAATGTTTGTTAAAGTCCAAAGATGGTTTTTACGGCGAGAAAAATTTGAATAATTGCCGGGAAAACCCAAAAAACAGTCTTTTTCTATAGGATTAAAGTTGGCATTGTGATTCAATCATAGTTATAGTTAAATAATTGAATCCGAGATGGCGCGCTGAAGTGCATTATTAGCTATTCTTTATATAATTAATTTCTTTAAAATAAAATTGCGAATCTTATTGATAGAATTGACACATACTATGTCTAGAACAAGAGAGTAAAAACAAATTACAATTTTATTAAACACTAACAGATACGGTGCGTGAGTAATGTGCAGAAACTTGTCAATGACAAAATGGCAGAATGACAGGATGTACGCACAAGGCACAATAATACCTACGTACGAAAATGCGAAGAAATAAGGAAAATATGAAAATGGTAAAAGGGCGGCTTGAATGTAGGCGTGGAATCTGTAGAAACAGCAAAACAACGCAATGACGCAATGAAAGGGAGGAAATACAGAAACGCACAAATGTACACTGATGTCGAAGGCGGAAAATCATACGCGCCAACAAAAAGGGAGATATTCCTACAATTTGTTAGGATTTACAAAATGGCAGGCGTGTATTATTGGTTGCCTACATACGGCAACTTTCTAAAATGATTTTCTTATAAGTTGATTTAATGAAATGCAAAAATGTACCGAAAAAAAAACGTACAAGATTGCTGAATCTAGACGTAGATGCTAAAGTGAAATTCGAAAAGTTGCCAAAGACCTAAAGAGCGGACTTTGGAATGCTCGCAATCTTTTTGTACGACGTGGCGGCTGGGCGGCTGGCTTTGCAGCAAACGGACACGGGCAGCTAGACAAAGAATCGCAAAGAGCGAAAACGAAGCAAACAAAAAAGCTCGTTGTAAACGTTGCAAAGCTTGCAAAGTAGCGGCTAAAAAGTGAATACGTGAGTTGCATCCTTGGTTGCCTACACTTCTATTCAAAATGCACATTTGCAAACATTGAATTTTTTTACAGCAAATTCTAAGAAAAAGCGTATTAATAATAGATTTATCGTAATAATACTAAATGATTACCAACAGATGGCGCTGCTCATCTGTTGCACAATTCTGAAAGTAACTTTTGAAACTTCTCGAATTTCATGCCATTGTTATCACGCTATTGTTAAAAGCCCCCATGCTGACCAATAACAACTTCCAGTCCTCTATGGAATCAAACAAAGCGTTCGGGTTTCAGTTTCTTCCGACTGTGCATCCCAACTTGCAAGTTCAACTGTTTGTTTGTTTGCTTGTTTTGTTTACGAAGATTTCGCTTCGGCATCACCGGACAGGTCGTATCCGTTCTAAGTGGTTGTAACATGATTATGCAATTTACGAATCCCAGCTACTAAAACCAAGTCACTCCCTCTTTACTTGCACGTGAATGTTACGATTGTAATTTATGTATTCACGTGTGCGCCTATAAATCTTCATCTGGTGAATAAACAAAATTCAATTTAATGTCGTTCTTTTACCTGTAATGCGTGTGGGTTGGACAAACAACCGCAATTTGCAATTATATTCAATTAAACACATTTGATTTGTAGGTTAAAAGCTCTGAGTGGAAAGTCAACATATATGTAACCAATTTTACACGTTCTGCAAACGGTATGCAACACATTTAACTTCAAGAATGTTATTTTTCACATTTACCCGCACACTATTTAAATATTGGCTTGGGATTTACTTTAATACTTATTTCCGGAAACCTTTTTCCGCAACAATTTCCAATCGAGATCATAAACTCAGGTCGTGTTTGCAGTGCGTGTGTGTTTTGTATGCATAAGCAAAAATAAATCCTCTTGCAGATCGTGGAGAGATACCTACATGTGTATTGAGGGTGGTTTGAGCCACCCTCATGCAAAACGCTCTCGTCACACTTTCAGCGGCACGCGATACATTATGCCACCGCCAAATATTTGACTTTCGTTGGGATTATAGACAAATAGATGTTTCTGCTTTGCCTTTGGTTTTGCTTTCGCCATCGTACTGCGAATAGGCATGCGGGAGAGGAGTGGGTGCAGTGTGTGAGCTCTTTAAACGCACATTATCACAGATTAATGGCCGCAACAACTAACCAACTTTCTCAAATGGCAGTAAAATGATTAAATTCTAGTATAGGTTCCTCCTACGGTGCTTTCGAGTACATTTTAAAATAATGCCCAATTGTTTAAAGCAATTATAACATTCAATTACAAATAAAATTTTACTGTTGATAACTCGAATCATATCATTTTGTTTGGTCGGTTATGATTGGTGTGCTGACATGACAAGACGCCTCTTCTATGCGATAGCGCACACGCATACATATTATGACTGTATGCTGACATCCTCAAATATGATTAATAATATCCACTTTTGTAAATATTAAGCTTTGCTATGCACAAGCAGGCGATTAATTCACTTTAGTATATTGTGAGCGTTTAAGGTTGAACAGTTCTTAGTGTTTAAGTTGTGTGGTGAAAATGGCTACTTTATGGACAATTGTTCAAGTGATGTTGTTCATTATTGCTCACACAAATGGATATTGTTATAGTAAGAGAGAAATACGTAGTGAATACAATTCCAATTACTACGATTGCTATTATTGCAATGTTACCCAAAAAAATGGCGAATGGACTGTTGAAGGATTAGATATATCTCTGAACGGTCATACGAGAATAATTAGAATATCAATGCAGAATCTTAAATTTAGTGACTTTACATTGCAAACTGTCATCACAGGTGAATTTAATTATTTTAGTATCGTTGAGGTGATTATTGAGGATTCTCAAATTGACAGAATTGTAAACTTTGCTTTTCCTAAACAAAAATTATTTGGCTATGATACACGTGATGTTAATTATCGCTTCGTAAGTTTTAAAAACAATAATATATCAACAATTGAACCAAATGCCTTTAGTAATTTAGAAAGTGTTACAAAGTTTTCGTTTTCAAACAATATTATCGGAAATAAAATAGGAGCTATTACTTCGCTTAGTAAACTGGTTGGTGTGACGACTTTAGATTTATCAAATAATAACATAACCAGTATTTCCAATGAGTTGATTACTGCTAATAAAAATATTCAACATTTGAATTTATCAAACAGTCAGATATCACAAATTGCTTTAGGTCGACTTCCTTCATTGGAAATTGTCGATTTATCAAACAATTATTTAGTCAGTATTTCTAATAGAATGTTTCCGGAAATTAGTGCAATAAAACATCTAAATATATCAAACAATCAAATCAATCAAATATATCCAAATACATTTGCAAATATGCAAAGTTTAGAACATTTAGATTTGTCACACAACCAAATAAAACACATGCACATTGCATCTTTGCATGGGTTATTACATTTACAATCATTAAATCTAAGTTATAATCAAGTTACCGTTGATAAATATTTGATATTTAATACACCTCAATTATCATTCTTGGATATTAGTTACAATAATTTAAGTGACATTGATGAAACTTTATTTAAAGAATCGCATCTAACCTCAATTAATATCGATGGAATGCACGTGAGTTGCATAAGATTAGTCGAAATAGTCAAATATTTTAAAACATTAAATATTAATTATGTAGTAGGAAAGGAACAAAATCGTTTACATCTATTTGGAATGCATTGTAATCATTCCGATGTAATAGAAACCACTACAAACATTATTGAACCTACCAATATACCGAATACTGATATTCAATTGTCTAATATTAGTAATAAACTATCAGAAATGTTAAACGTATTAAAACATAACAATGATAAAAACGTAAATGTTAATTCTACTCAAGCAGACACAACTACTACTACAATTCTGTTAATATTACTTATTTTAATGCTTGGTTTTATAATTGTATTCTTTCTTTACATCTGGCGTACATATTTTGTTAATTCCAATCAATATGTACCAACTGAAAATCTAATCACTGACTTTGAATTATCTAATAAATAGTTTGCTTATAACTAAACAAAACTATCAAATCAATATTGTATTGTAAAATATCATTAAGCTTATAATTGTAATAATTAGTTGTAAGTTATTGTACAAGTATATCTATTATAATGTATAAACACTCGAGACACACTGCCCTGGGATATTTGTTCTTCTCTAACAAGGTAATTAATAGTTTTTAATTAGTGATTAATTCTTTAAATATTTTTTGTTTCTATAAAATTACTTTTACAGCCAAAAACAATACGCTCGCTACCGAGGACAACAACGAATGGTAAGAAATTTTAATTTTAATTTAAGTATTATTTTTGTAATCATTAAAGTCTTCTTCGTCAAATTTTAGGATTTGGTGACAATTCCTCAAGGCCTTCAACAACAACTTTCGCAGTTTGTCAGCGTCGAAACAATTCATGAGTATTTACATTCAAAAATATATCAAATTTAAACGTTAATTACAAAACATTTAATAGGACATTTATGACAGCTTTAAATAGCGGTTGAAGATGAATGTTTCATCGCATTCAACAACTCGCGCCCGAAGAAGATTTAAGCAGTTTAAATTGTTCCAAACTCTTTGTTTGGTTTCGCACTGCGTCAGAAGTACTTTTCCGTCATTGCGAACGGCACATCCTCTCCGAAAAGTTTCTCACCGGCTCACACACACACACACACAAAACCCGTTTACATAGAGCGACTTGCGGACTCTTCAACTTTTCGCCGCCGCGCGCATCCCTGGCATCGCTGGTCTCACTCCGCGACGTGACTTTGGATTTGTCATTATAAGCGCCGCGACCCGCAGACAAAGTGGAACAAAGTCGACTTTGTTCCGCACGACGGCGCCTCGCTCGTAAAACTTCGTACAGTATTTATCTTATAATCTCATACATAGTCATATACACATCCCGCGTACATGTGGGTTATACGCGTTAAATATTTGATTAAAGCTTTAACTACTCCCACAGAGTCAGCGTGCTTTTATTTTCTTAATTTTTATCCTGTGCGGGAAAAATGCACGCGCTCGAAATGCAAAACGTCGTAGATGCTACACAACTCTTTTGGATGGTAAAGAGACGAGTGTGGTGAAAACACGAAACCAACTTCTAGACGCACGTCGACTGGTAATGGGTCTTTCTAGGTGCATTATATATTGAGATGTAAAGACGTCGACAGGCGATTGTATCACAAAGCTCGCAGCAGCTACAAAAGCTGCGTGGGAAGTTGAAAGGGATGACTGCGGGAAGAACGTTGATTTAATCACAAAGCATTAAAACATCTTATAGTAATTAGAGAAGTAAAAAAAGAAATTTAGAAATATTTTTACAAAAATATCGTGTTGTGTTACTTATTATATTATTATTCTACTTCCATCATCAAATTGGTGGATTTTCCACTGTTTTGAGATACAAAAAATGTGTAAAGTACTTTAGTCACGGGTTTTAGTCACGAGGCGGAACTTACGCCTGCGCAGTTGTTGATTTAATAACAAAGCATTAAAATATCTTATAGTAATTAGAGAATTTAAAAAAAAGAAATTTAGAAGTATATTTACAAAAATATCGTGTTGTGTTACTTATTATATTATTATTCTACTTCCATCATCAAATTGGTGGATTTTCCACTGTTTTGAGATACAAAAAATGTGTAAAGTACTTTAGTCACGGGTTTTAGTCACGAGGCGAAACTTACGCCTGCGCAGTTGTTGATTTAATAACAAAGCATTAAAATATCTTATAGTAATTAGAGAAATAAAAAAAGAAATTTAGAAATATATTTACAAAAATATTGTGTTGTGTTACTTATTATATTATTATTCTACTTCCATCATCAAATCGGTAGATTTTCCACTGTTTTGAGATACAAAAAGCGTGTAAAGTACTTTAGTCACGGGTTTTAGTCACGGGCCTGAACTTACGCTTGCGCAGTTATTGATTTAATAATAAAGCATTAAAATATCTTATAGTAATTAGAGAAATAAAAAAAGAAATTTAGAAATATATTTACAAAAATATTGTGTTGTGTTGCTTATTATATTATTATTCTACTTCCATCATCAAATTGGTGGATTTTCCACGGTTTTGAGATACAAAAAGTGTGTAAAGTACTTTAGTCACGGGTTTTAGTCACGGGCCTGAACTTACGCTTGCGCAGTTATTGATTTAATAATAAAGCATTAAAATATCTTATAGTAATTAGAGAAATAAAAAAAGAAATTTAGAAATATATTTACAAAAATATTGTGTTGTGTTGCTTATTATATTATTATTCTACTTCCATCATCAAATTGGTGGATTTTCCACGGTTTTGAGATACAAAAAGTGTGTAAAGTACTTTAGTCACGGGTTTTAGTCACGGGCCTGAACTTACGCTTGCGCAGTTATTGATTTAATAATAAAGCATTAAAATATCTTATAGTAATTAGAGAAATAAAAAGAAATTTAGAAATATATTTACAAAAATATTGTGTTGTGTTGCTTATTATATTATTATTCTACTTCCATCATCAAATTGGTGGATTTTCCACTGTTTTGAGATACAAAAAATGTGTAAAGTACTTTAGTCACGGGTTTTAGTCACGAGGCGGAACTTACGCCTGCGCAGTTGTTGATTTAATAACAAAGCATTAAAATATCTTATAGTAATTAGAGAATTTAAAAAAAAGAAATTTAGAAGTATATTTACAAAAATATCGTGTTGTGTTACTTATTATATTATTATTCTACTTCCATCATCAAATTGGTGGATTTTCCACTGTTTTGAGATACAAAAAATGTGTAAAGTACTTTAGTCACGGGTTTTAGTCACGAGGCGAAACTTACGCCTGCGCAGTTGTTGATTTAATAACAAAGCATTAAAATATCTTATAGTAATTAGAGAAATAAAAAAAGAAATTTAGAAATATATTTACAAAAATATTGTGTTGTGTTACTTATTATATTATTATTCTACTTCCATCATCAAATCGGTAGATTTTCCACTGTTTTGAGATACAAAAGCGTGTAAAGTACTTTAGTCACGGGTTTTAGTCACGGGCCTGAACTTACGCTTGCGCAGTTATTGATTTAATAATAAAGCATTAAAATATCTTATAGTAATTAGAGAAATAAAAAAAGAAATTTAGAAATATATTTACAAAAATATTGTGTTGTGTTGCTTATTATATTATTATTCTACTTCCATCATCAAATTGGTGGATTTTCCACGGTTTTGAGATACAAAAAGTGTGTAAAGTACTTTAGTCACGGGTTTTAGTCACGGGCCTGAACTTACGCTTGCGCAGTTATTGATTTAATAATAAAGCATTAAAATATCTTATAGTAATTAGAGAAGTAAAAAAAATAATATAGAAATATTTTTACAAAACTATCGTGTTGTGTTATTTATTATATTATTATTCTACTTCCATCATCAAATTGGTGGATTTTCCACGGTTTTGAGATACAAAAAGTGTGTAAAGTACTTTAGTCACGGGTTTTAGTCACGGGCCTGAACTTACGCTTGCGCAGTTATTGATTTAATAATAAAGCATTAAAATATCTTATAGTAATTAGAGAAATAAAAAAAGAAATTTAGAAATATATTTACAAAAATATTGTGTTGTGTTGCTTATTATATTATTATTCTACTTCCATCATCAAATTGGTGGATTTTCCACGGTTTTGAGATACAAAAAGTGTGTAAAGTACTTTAGTCACGGGTTTTAGTCACGGGCCTGAACTTACGCTTGCGCAGTTATTGATTTAATAATAAAGCATTAAAATATCTTATAGTAATTAGAGAAATAAAAAAAGAAATTTAGAAATATATTTACAAAAATATTGTGTTGTGTTGCTTATTATATTATTATTCTACTTCCATCATCAAATTGGTGGATTTTCCACGGTTTTGAGATACAAAAAGTGTGTAAAGTACTTTAGTCACGGGTTTTAGTCACGGGCCTGAACTTACGCTTGCGCAGTTATTGATTTAATAATAAAGCATTAAAATATCTTATAGTAATTAGAGAAGTAAAAAAAATAATATAGAAATATTTTTACAAAACTATCGTGTTGTGTTATTTATTATATTATTATTCTACTTCCATCATCAAATTGGTGGATTTTCCACGGTTTTGAGATACAAAAAGTGTGTAAAGTACTTTAGTCACGGGTTTTAGTCACGGGGTGGAACTTACGCCTGCGCAGTTATTGATTTAATAATAAAGCATTAAAATATCTTATAGTAATTAGAGAAGTAAAAAAAATAATATAGAAATATTTTTACAAAACTATCGTGTTGTGTTATTTATTATATTATTATTCTACTTCCATCATCAAATTGGTGGATTTTCCACGGTTTTGAGATACAAAAAGTGTGTAAAGTACTTTAGTTACGAGTTTTAGTCACGGGAACTTACGCATGCGCAGTTACCTTGGGGCAATGTAGACTTTATAATTTAGCGACATCTAGTGGGATGTAAGTTTAATTTTTTTTAAACAAAAAAATGTTTTTTTATTCATTTTGGTGATAAAATAAATAAATATATCATAATCAATCATATAAAAAGAAGCATATGTGTCGACATGTTCCTTCTGTAAAACAATCACGTCTAATGAGTAACCACCCGCTTAATACACTCAACCTGAATAACAAAACCAAAAAAAACACCAGTTTGCAAAAACACGCCGGCTTCGTTCGCTTTGCATGCGAATGCAAATTTCCTCATGCCGCTTGCGCCGCCCGTTCGTAGTCCATTTGCACCGTGGCGTATTTTTGTAATTTTCAATGCCCGCATCAGCATCAACAGAGTGTACGTGCTCATCGCGCAAACGTGCGACGCTCTTTTTTTTTGCACGTTTATTACGCGACGCATAAACTTGTTATCCGTGTTTTGTCAGCGGCGCGTCGCGTTGTCACGTGTGTGGTGTCGCATGATGCGGGCGGGAACATTCAGCGCTTTTTGTTGCTCAACGCGCGTTATCGCTTGATCGTGCGCAAATTCGGCACAACTCGAGAATTTCTGTTTGATTTGGTTTAATTTAGTTTAATTTCATTTCATCGACACGGGCGCAACGAAGCGGGTTGTTGCGTTTGTGAGGAAGTGTGCTCTTTGATGACTTTGATGTGAAAGGATTAAAATTCGATACAGGGGAATATTAGATAACAAACGAGACTCTACCTAGAGACGTCTTTTAACGTTGAACAAAATATAATCATCTTTCATGTCTAGTTTTATTATCAAAGTTTATAATTAAATTTTTTGACTTCCACCAGTTTTTCCACGGTTTTTAGACACAAAATGTTGTAGTTTATATACGGACGGCTAAGCTGTACATAATATTCATTATGTACTTGCATTATGCACGGGACGGAGCAAGCGCCTGCGCATTTGCCTACGGAGTAGCACGAGGCGGTATGAAATGCCATGCAACGTCAGTCAAACACGTTAAAGTAGGCGCTACTGCTGCTCGTATCGAAGAAGCACGATATGAACCGAAGCGTCACATGGGCCGGCGCACGACATGGTACTTATAACCTTACGGTTTAAATGTGTGAGCAAATTTCGATGAATTAAAATACAAAAGTTGAAATACAAAAACCGCAACGTGGAACTAAAGTGGAAGTAGAAAAAATAGCGTAAGCATCTCGTGGCTAAACGTTGTTAATACCCTCGTTTAGCTACTTGTTACTTAATATATTATTATATGGAATCAAAATATCATGTAACAAAAATATTTTCTTCCATTTTTATTTTTATGTTCTGTTATCACATATTAGACACATATATTTTTTGCGATTTCTGTGGGAATCATTAAATCTCGCTTTGGTTTGCATTAGCGATTTTTTTAGCAACTCACGCGAGAAAACAAAGCAACTTATTAAATTAAATAAGATTACGAGTTTTCGGTGCAAAGGCAGCGGCACGAAGCGCGCATCTTTGATTAAATTCTTCAAACTTTTGCGAGATTTACGCGAATAGTTGCCCGCTCGCCTCCAACATCGCCGCCGCCCGCTGGACGAAACATTCCAGTCGAGCGCACGCCAGCACCAGCATCCCAGCGAAAGTGTAAACGAAGAAACTCAACTCGTCAACTCATCGCTGGAAATAAAAGTCGCGCAAACACGCTTGCACGACTGCTAAATGCTCGTAATATGAATTATTTAATATCGCGTTGGAAAGTACTGTAACTACAACTGAAACTACAGCTTGCTGAATATTTCAATCTAATCGAATCAATTGTAGATAAAACTAACACTTTGAAAGGTTTTTGCAATGGAATGTGAATAGACGTCGGACGCGTGCTCGTAAACTGTTTGCAATTGAAATGTTAATGGCCCATAGGAATACGAATTGTGTTTGCGTACGACAAGCACTGCGACACTTGACGACAATTGACAAGACATGGACGACATCTATTGACCATCGATTTATACTATTTTCTTATAATCTAACATGTGTTTTTTTATTTTACTAAATAAAATTGTCAATGTATTGTAAATGATTTCCTGTGTTCTATTCGGCGTCAGCAAATCAATTTCCATCGTAAAATACAAAGATAATGGATTCATTTAATTATTTTGGGTTTGTTTATGTTTATTTATTCTAAAAACTTGTTATTATGTTTCCTAAAATAGATATTTATTGTTTCGCATCGGAATATATGTAAAAAAACTTTCTACAACATACTTTGCCTGAGGTCAGGTAAATATTTAAGAAGTACTCTAAAATACAAGTCAAAGGTTAAGTTGTTCCTAAAATTACTATTTTCTACTTCCACCTATAAAACGCCAGTTTATTCATGGTATTTAGACACAAAAAGTGGTACTTTATATACGGGCGGCCAAGCCGTACGTAATATTCATTATGTACTTGTATTATACACGGGACGGAGCAAGCGCATGCGCAATTGCCTACGGAGCAGCACAAGGCGGTATGAAATGCCATGCGACGTCAGTCAAACACGTCTAAGTAGGCGCTGCTGCTGCTCGTATCGGAGGGGCACGATATGAACCGAAGTGTCACATGGGCCGGCGCGCGGCATGACACTTATAATCTATCAGTTTAAGTGTGTGAGCGAATTTCGCTGAATTAAAATACAAAAGTTGAAATACAAAAACCGCAACGTGGAACTAGAGTGGAAGTAAAAAAAATAGCGTAAGCACCTCGTGGCTAAACGTTGTTAAAAACTCGATTGATTGAATTCTCGTCTGTAATGCCCTCGTTTAGCCACTTGTTACTTAATATACTAAAAGGAGCTGTGGTAAAATAGGTTGTAACTGCTGTGAAATGACAGGTTTCTTACAATTAGTTAATAACTAACGAACGTGTGGAACCCTCCTCACTATGCGTATTTTATTAATTTTTTAAATGTATAGGAAATTAATTAATTAAGTAATTTGAAATGTTCTACAGTCATATGCTAATGGAGAAATTTTTTTACAACATGTCCCAGAAGCTTAGTAATTGTATGACAAGCGCATCTTTTTCTCTCAGCAAACAGTTATGAAGTACCCAAAAATTCCCATCAAAAATCGGTAGTCAGCTAGGCTTTTGGTTTGGTTTGCAATAATATCTAATTATTGATAACTCGGATTATATCATTTTGTTTGGTCGGTTATGATTGGTGTGCTGAATTGACAAGACGCCTCTTCTATGCGATAGCGCACACGCATACATATTATGACTGTATGCTGACATCCGCAAATATGATTAATAATCTCCAGTTTTGTAAATATAAAGCTTTGCTATGGACAAGCAGTCGATTAATTCACTTCAGAATATTGTGAGCGTTTAAGGTTGAACAGTTCTTAGTGTTTAAGTTGTGTGGTTAAAATGGCTACTTTATGGACAATTGTTCAAGTGATGTTGTTCATTATTGTTCACACAAATGGATATTGTTATAAGACATTCGAGAAACGTAGTGAATACAATTTCAATTACTACGATTGCTATTATTGCAATGTTACCCAAAAAAATGGCGAATGGACTGTTGAAGGATTTGATATATCTTGGAACGGTTATATGAGAATAATTAGAATATCAATGCAGAATCTTAAATTTAGTGACTTTACATTGCAAACTGTCATCACAGGTGACATAGTTAATTATTTTAGTATCGTTGAGCTGATTATTGAGGATTCTCAAATTGACAGAATTGTAAACTTTGCTTTTCCTAAACAAAAATCAAAACGTGGTTATAATCCCTTTGATGTTCCTTATCGCTTCGTAAGTTTTAAAAACAATAATATATCAACAATTGAAGAAAATGCTTTCAATAATTTAGAAAGTGTTACAAAGTTTTCATTTTCAAATAATGTTATTGGAAATAAAATAGGAACTATTACTTGGCTTAGTGAACTGGTTAGTGTGACGACTTTAGATTTATCAAACAATAACTTAACAAGCATTTCAAATGAGTTGTTTACTGCTAATAAAAATGTTCAACATTTGAATTTATCAAACAGTCAAATAACACATATTGTTCCCAATACATTTATAAATCTTTCGGAATTAGAAGTTCTCGATTTGTCAATGAATATGTTATTGAATGTGAACCTATACAATTTATTAAATTTAAAACATACAAGTTATATCTTTCATAATTTACCAGCACTACATACATTAATTTTATTTGGTAATAATATATCAAATTTTGATAATTCATTAGGTTTTCTGCCATCATTGAAAATACTCGATTTATCATATCAAAATTTAAGCAGTATATCAAACGAAATGTTTCCGGAACCCAGTGCTTTAAGCAATTTGAATATGTCAAATAATGCAATAAGTAAAATTACCCCAAATGCATTTAAGAATTTGGAAGATCTGATTATTCTCGATTTGTCAAATAATAAATTAAATGTGTTGAATCCAGTATTATTACATGATACACAAAATCCAAATACACCTGAGTATATTTTTGATAATCTTCCAAAATTACAAATCATAATTTTATTTGGCAATAATATTTTAAATTTTGATAATGCATTAGGTTATCTTCCATCATTGCAAAAACTCGATTTATCATATCAAAATTTAAGCATTATATCAAACGAAATGTTTCCGGAACCCAGTGCTTTAAGCAATTTGTATATGTCAAATAATGCAATAAGTAAAATTACCCCAAATGCATTTAAGAATTTGAAAGAGCTGGTGATTCTCGATTTGTCAAATAATAAATTAAATGTTTTGAATCCAGTATTATTACATGATACACAAAATCCAAATACACCTAAGTATATGTTTGATAATCTTTTAAAATTACAAACCATAATTTTATTTGGCAATAATATATCAAATTTTGATTATGTATTAAGTAAACACCCAGTATTAACCATACTGGATTTATCAAACAATAATTTAGCCAGTATTTCTAATAGAATGTTTCCGGAAATCAGTGCAATAAAACATCTAAATATGTCAAACAATCAAATAAATGAAATATATCCGAATACATTTGCAAATATGCAAAGTTTAGAACATTTGGATTTGTCTCACAACAGAATAAAAAACATGCACATAGCATCTTTGCATGGGTTACCAGTTTTACAATCTTTAAATCTAAGTTATAATCATTACACGGTTGATAAATATTTAATATTTAATACACCTAAATTATCATTTTTGGATATCAGTTACAATAATTTTAGTGACATTGATGAAACTCTATTCAAAGAATCGCATCTAACCTCAATTAATATCGATGGAATGCACGTGAGTTGCATAAGATTAGTCGAAATAGTCAAATATTTTAAAACATTAAATATTAATTATGTTGCTGGGAAAGAACAAAATCGTTTACATCTATTTGGAATGCATTGTAACCATTCCGATGTAATAGAAACCTCTACAAACATTATTGAACCAACCAATATACCGAATACTGATATTCAACTGTCGAATATTAGTAATAAACTATCGGAAATGTTGAATGTATTAAAACATAACAATGACAAAAACTTGAATGCAAATCCTACTCCAGGAGTTAATAATATTCAGTTGTCAAATAACAACATCCTATCAGAAATGTTAAATGTATTAAAACATATCAATGATAAAAACTTGAATGCAAATCCTACTCAAGCAGTTACTCAAGTTCACGATATGCAAGAAAAATCAGACAAAACTACACATATTCTGTTAATATTACTCATCTTAATGTTTGGTTTTATAATTGTATTCCTTCTTTACATCTGGCGTACATATTTTGTTAATTCCAATCAATATGTACCAACTGAAAATCTAATCACTGATTTTGAATTATCTAATAGATAGTTTGCTTATAACTAAACAAAACTATCAAATCAATATTGTATTGTAAAATATCATTAAGATTATAATTGTAATAATTAGTTGTAAGTTATTGTACAAGTATATCTATTATAATGTATAAACACTCGACACACCGCCCTGGGATATTTGTTCTTCTCTAATAAGGTAATTATTAGCTTTTGATTGGTGTTTAATATTTTAAATACTTTTTATTTTTATTCAAAATTTCTTTTATTTATAGAAGACTCTCATCGGTATTGAGAACATTAATATTAATCTCCATTAGCAAAGCTTCAGAACATATCACTACTACGAATGGTAAGACATGTTTATCAATTAAGCTAAATATAACAAAATTAAACGTGGAATTTCACTTTGATAAAACATTTATGACAGCAATTGTTGCCTTATAAAACACGTCATTTCTTTAGCAAAATTAGTTAATTTTGTGTTTAATATCGCCATTTATTTTTTTATAACACCCGCATCTAGTTCTGTCTGCAAGCAGTTAAGAAGTACTCAAAAACCATTTAAAAATAGTTACTTATATGATAAACTGGTGTTCCCCAAGGTTAAAAATAGATTAAAAAACTTATTTTTTGATATACTATTTGGATGTTTGTCATTATTTATAATTTTTAGGTTAAAAATCATAGGCACATAAATGCCTAAATTTTATATTGGTCGAATCACTGCCTCAATATCTTTTTATTAAAGTTAATTCCAGGTGAAGGACGAAGTGAAACTTATAAATTGGAAAATTATGGTTCAAAAACCGGACCGAATTATTTTCTTTGATAAAATAATTTTTAGATCTTCATCTTACGCAAGAAAAAATTGATCATGTTTTTTAATTAAAATTAATTAATTTTAAAGCCAGTTTTGCTGTAATTTTTGCTTCAAAAATGTACTAACAATGTTATATCGGTATTAGTTGTGATAAAAAGAATTACAAACAAAATGAAGTAAAAGTATTAACTTAGTAATTTTTACAACATGTTTTAGGATATATTCTGAAAGTTTAAGAGATGCCAAAAGTAAGCATTTAGTTAAAGACTTCATGATCTACCTTCTAAAAATTCGGGACACAAAATATCTCAATTGGTTCAAGAGATACAGGCTTTTTTCCACGGATTAATTTGGAAATATAGAAATCCAATCTTTTTAAGTCTGCATTTTGGAAAACTTGCTAAAAATGTAATGGTAAGTAGAGAATGTGGACAATAAAAGAGTTTTCTATAAAATATCGTCGATAAACTAAATATTGTTTTATTTTTGCAGGAGATATTGGGTGTTTTCAACGCCAGTTTTAATAAAGTAAGGAAAAATAGCAATTAATGGCGCTATTAATCAACTTCCTCAATGTTTACAGCATTTACCAGGTAGGCATACAGTAAATCAATTTTTACTATAATTTCACTATTAGCATTCCTAAATAATAACAATTTTTACAGGCAAAACGGAACGTTTTCCAGGGCAATTTTGGAAACTTAAAGAAGTATATCGTTGACTGCAACTTTCAGTTACTCCTAAGAAGATTTCCAACTTCAGAAACACCAAGAAACATGAACAAAAATGTATTTTATTAATTATTAATTAATGCTTAATAAAAATGTAATTTGGTTTTACTCTCTTGTTCTAGACATAGTATGTGTCAATGCTATCAATAAGATTCGCAATTTTATTTTAAAGAAATTAATTATATATTATAAAGAATTGCTAATAATGCACTTCAGCGTGCCATCTCGTATTCAACTATTTAACTATAACTATGATTGAATCTCAATGCCAACTTTTGTCCTTTAGAAAAAGGCTGTCTTTAGGGTTTTTCCGGTTCTTATTCGAATTTTTCTCGCCGTGAAAACCATCCTTGGACTTTAACAAATATTTAAAAAACAAATTGGCCAAATTGGTCTAGGCGTTGTTGAGTTATGCGTTTTCCAACAAACTTTCCAATTCATTTTAATATTATAGATTATCCAGAAGTATAATTGCTTCCATGAATTTCTTATGATACAACTCACTTTAATTTTTTTGCTGAGAAAATTGAATATATATTTACAAAATAAATTTAAATATGAAATAAAAGCAAGGAAAAAAAACTCCAATTATCTTCGGTTAGCTGAAGTGGTGAGTGCGTGAGGGCGCCTTGTACATTGGGTTGCGGCGCTGTTAATACGCGCGGTGTCCTTCGCGCGCAATTCCCCAAATCTAATTTGGAATATAACTCAATATGCGCGCACGTGCAGGCGATACTAAGCGGCAAATCCCCGGGCCGACCGGAATGAATGTGTTTTTACGTGGCTTACTCCGGCCTCCACCTTCTCGTCCGCGCAAAAACCAGCCCCCTCACCCGCCCGCGAAGCAAGTAAATGAAAGTCGAAATTCGGTAAGGAAGTCAATGTGCTTTCGGTTCATTGCAGTTCAACGCAGACGTCGATCGGCGGCGTGCTGAGCGCGCTATACGCGAAGAATACGGCGAAGAAAAAAAAAACCGCTGCTGAAAAACCTAATGAAAACGCTATAAATTTACCCTCCAAGAAGCCCGCCACCGAAAACGGCGTAGCGGCGAGCCTGGCGAGCGCACTCGACATGAAGTATTGCTAAAAAAGCGAAGGCATCCAAAGAATTGTTCAAAGAATGCACTCGCACAAAGTGAACTCAGCAAATCATCCTCGAAATTGAAATAGTTGAAAGAATTCAGCTAATGGTATACTTAAACAAGTGTTTTGAATTCACTTGCATGCTGGGTGAGATATTGGTTGCATATATCACAACAGCTGATGATGTGATATATAAACTCATGCTGGCGTAAATCAAAACCAATTAAACCGGATTAATCCGTCAACTCTCTCAAAAGTCTCTCAGACGAGGAATATTAGGATTGCAAGTCACGTTACGTGTCACGTTAATATATACTGTGGCGAGTTGGGTGCAATGTGCACGTGTGGTTGCCGATACTCCTGCTCCTCGAATTCCAATCCTAACGATCACGTCGGAATGCCACATTGTAGATCTTCGCCGCGCACGTTGGGTTGCATATCTATGTATTTATGCATCTTCGTGTCGGCGAGGATCTGGATGCGCATAAATCCGAATGATCTATACGATTGCAATTATGCGGCGGCAATGCACATGCTGCTCGCATGACTGGGGAATGTCTGCATGTAGGAATCCAGTGAGATGTGGGCTGTGAACCGAGCAAGACTCGAAACAGTATTGTCGATGATTTTCAACGAACGATCGAAGCATGTGGAATGAGGTGGGAGAGGCTACGAAAAGCGAGGGGATAAACTATATTGCATTTCCGCCACGTCGCGCCTCGCGTAACACTTTGATCTAGACGAGATCTGAGGATCACCGGCGGTTGGCAGCTTCCGGTCAATCTTCGCCATCTTTCGTACTTCCGGCGAGGCGCAAAATTGATGATATTGCTTAGTATTTTTTGATTTTTCAGTTATTAACTGAAATAGATATCAATAAAAAACAGAAAAAAATTTATTTTGAAAATAAAGACATTTGGTGCCGTTTTGCGTTGACACCGTCACGCCAGCATACATTATGAAGATGTATGTCAGGCTGCTCTCACACTTGAATGTTTCTTTCATTTCCTATTCGTTTCAACCAGTTTCTCACAGCGCAGTGAAACCTCTGCGTCTTGAAATGAGAATATTCCAACACAAGATAACAAAATGACACACAGGGAATAGACAACGATTGTTGGAAATGTTTGCCGAGTGCATTTCGCTATGTGCAGGTGTCAGAGGTCTAATATTAGCACAAACTCAAAGAAGCATCAAGGGAATTTTAAAATTTTCAAACTGCACTCATAAAAAAAATGATCTAATGTATTCATTGGCATAAATGTATGATGATGTGTTAATTTGTTAATGACTGCGATTTTATTGACATTCAAAATTGCGAGCCTATTAAATCATTTTTAGCGCTCATTCAAATTCCACTTTAGCCGTAATATTGTGAAGTGCATTGCAATTCACGTTGGTGTAGTGTGAACCTACAATCAAACAGCAGCGAATTTTAAAATACCATCCAGCACAAAAACCACCATTCGAGCATTTATTGATCGTCACAAAAATAAAAGCTGCTTTATGAACAATATTACGATATTTAAACAGAGAAATCACCGAAATGGTACAAAAATATTATTTCTGCTTTATTTTGGCCTGTATTGCATTAGTTTCGGTTTCGGAAAGTCATAACTTCCGATATGCGTGGCGTACCTGGATTTAACCTAACTTGACAGCCACCAGCGCCGGCGGGCAAACCGCAACGAACGGCAAAATATACCCGGGCACCAAGTTTTAATTCAATGTCACCGGAAAAGATTAGATAAGGCGTGCGCTGCTTGGAATACAAACTAGCCGAATGTGACGTCTGCGGCAAACAAACTGCAACACACGCTGGTTCTACTCTTCTACAACAAACACATGCGGAATTTAACCGAACGCAAAGCGCCTCCGGTTGGAAGTTGGAAGTGGAAAGACAATGTCGAAATTGAGCTGAAACTAAATAAAGCATCAACCCATACTTGCATTTTGTTTTTATATTTATTTTTATACTAGTTAACCGGGCAAACGTTGTTTTGCCATATAAATTATTTCTAGTTTCTAGATAAATTTTAGTGCAGACAAAAAGTAACTTACTTATTATAAAAAATAGGGGTTGGTGTTAAGAAACCAAAAATTTAGGGTTGTATGTATATTTTAATGCCACATTAAAAAAATAAAAACAAAAATTTCTACCAAAATTTAAAAAAAATTAAGGGTGAACAACCCTTATCACTTAGAGATATGAAGTTACCGATTCTCAGACCTACTGAATACGCATATAAAAATTTTCGTTGAGCGGGATGAAAAATGATTAAATTACTAAAATGTCTATAAAGAAATAGTGGTTGGTGATAAAAACTAAAAATTTAGGGTTGTATGTATTTTTAATTCCACATTATAAAAAAAAAAACAAAAGAATTTGTCCAAAAATTTAAAAAAGTTAAGGGTGAACAACCCTTATCACTTAGGGTATGAAAAATAGATGTTAGCCGATTCTCAGACCTACTGAATACGCATATAAAATTTGGTAAAAATCGGTAAAGCCGTTTCGGAGGAGTATGGAAACAAACACTGTGACACGCAAATTTTATATATATAGATTTAATTTGCTACACTTCAACATTTATTATATGCAACCATACTAACACAACTTTTTAAATTTAGAATTTCAACCTTTTAGAACGTAATTTTCTTAAATTACTTTTTGTTACTGTAAGATTGTATTTCTTGGGTTAAAACCGTGAATATTTCGACTGCAATTCTCATCTATTTTCACGTCGCTAATAATTCACACAACGCGTATGCTGTCACGATGCGTCAAATTAAATTGCCATCACGATTAAGCCGACACGCGGATGATAATGCTGTCTTACTCTTCGGCGCGCATACACATCACATAAATAATGACATTAAATACGCCACCACCTTTACGTGTAAATTTACAACTTGATTATTATTCCTGTCATTCATATATTTAGCGTGTTTCACATAAAATTTCACATTTTGCACATAAAATAAAACAAATATTTGTTGAATTTTCATGAATTTCTTCTTAGAATCTCAATTCAAAGCTAGTGCTGAAGAAAAAAACTTAAAATATTGAAGTGCTCGTTGAATACGAAGCCGCTTGAAAGCTTTTGGGCTCTCGGACAAGCTCTTAGATTTTCTTTTCGACTAGCCCCGAATTTATAGAAAATTTTCATGCATACATCACGAAAACAAGAATCCTCATTCATACATCAGCTTGATATTCTCGCATCCAGACGTTTCTTGCGTCGCGCAGAGAATAGAGAGAACTAAAGTGAATCCCATTAGAAATGGACACCGAATAATATACAGAGGGCTTCTTAATTCAGCCGACGAGAGAGCGGAGATAAAAATTTTGCGCCGGCGAAAAAATGAGACAAAAACGTGGAACCAGATAGAATCTAAAGCGAGTGGAAGAGGTTTTCGACTGTGTGTGGAAAGACGAAAACGAAAGGGAATGTCGAGCAGAAGCAGAAATATTTTTTAAGGCCACTAGAGTGCCGCGCGCGCGGCTCCTCCCAAGAAGTCTACTTTTTAGTCCTTTTCGGCTTTCATCATTCATTTCCACATGATTCTCTTTTATTTTCATGATTTCCTTGATGGTTACCATTTTTTTCCTCTCGTGAGGCTTGCGGCCTTGCACGGAAGTGAAGTAATCATAAAGTTTGATGCAGCAAATTTTTAAATTATCTGCATAAATATTCTTTTAATATACGGGGGCGAAACGCATGAATTAATTCATTTTTCTATGTTTAATTATATGTTTAATTATACATAATTACAATTAAAAACTAATAAAGTTGGTAATTACTTACTAAAATATATTTTTCCTTTTGCTTCTTATTTTCTTCTTTGTTTAATTTTTTTTTCAAAAATTTACAAACTTTTCTTGTTATTCACTCACTACACTAAGTTATAGTAAATTTTTGTAATAGTTTCATGTTATATTGTAATCGGAAAATAATTTTTATTTTATTTACATACACAACTTAATTTATTAACCACCTTTTTATTGTTGTTTTTTTCTTCTTTTTGAGATTAAAAAATGAAGTTTTGGGGGCTGCGAGATTTGCGTTCGCGGCGCGCGGAGGCGGCAGCGGCGACGGACTGCACGCGTTGCTAACCGGTCGACTACTGAGCCGGGCGACTGCCGCCTCTGGAGCCGCTGCCGCCGCCGCCGCATGGCCGAGGTCTCTGCAGCACCCAGCGCAGCGACATGCGTACACACAGTTTTAAGAATGCCAGTATTAATAAATTACTACATAATTATAATATAAACACATATTATTTGAAAAATTCTTAAATTATTGGTATAAAAACTTAATTTTTGAGTTTTTAAAGTTATAATTTTATATTATACACATGGTATTTTATATGGTTTTGTGAGCAAATTTCACCCCGTGACTTAAACGCGTGATTAATGTACTTTAGTCACGGTCTTGGTTATCCGTGATTAAAGTACCACTTTTTGTGTCTAAAAACCGTGGAAAATTCGCGATTTAAAAGTAAAATTAGAAAAATAACCACATATTATCAACAATAATACAAAAGATTACTGCAAAAGTATAAAAAATCTAATTTAATTTAATGTAAAATTTTAATTGTTAAATTAACAAAGTTTTAACAACAAATCTTAAACAGAATTCTATAATAATAATAAGTTTAAATCTTCTACGGCGGTTTAAAACCAAATCTCGCCCAGAAATTAAAAACTATAAAATCTTCTTTGAGCAAATTTCCAAGTACAAGTGCAAGAACACGAGTGTTTTGCTCTTTTGCTTTTTTTAATCGTGCCTCACAGTCGCAATGAGTTCGTGCGCGACGCCCGGCGACGCGCAACTTTAAAAGTAATGAAAAATAAATAGCGTCGTCGTCGTCTGTCGACGGCGCCGGCATCACAATGCCTCAAACACTCGAACCGCTCGAAATTATGTCCACAATTAAAAATTAAACTCATTCTTGTTTTGTGTGTTTTTACGCGCGCGTGCCAACAATAAAAATCTACAAAGAAAAAGTTTCGTCTTCAACTGTAACGCTAACTGCAATTATATGAAAATGTTTTAGTGAAAAAATCGTGCGATGCAAATTTGCGAATTAAGTATAAGATGGAATTCATCACTAATTAAAACTTTTCTTATATTTGCAATTAGCACACAAAATGTACATACCTAGAAGAAAGGTTATGTCAATGTGTGCAGAGTGCAGACAACGACTAGTCTGTGTTGACATTCGCATTGTTTGCGAATTTCGACATTTTTGCAGGTATTTAACTTGCAAATAATTCCAAACGGACGAAAGTAATACACAAATAATTCACGCTCTGCTTCCAGTCGACGTTTTAATTAATTACGCTGCGCATTCTTTGATGTCTAAATATGTCTGAAATGTGTGCATTCGTATGTACACTAAATATCAACGCAATTAATTTGATAGTTTACAAAATGTGCTGAAATATGTTCATATTTATGCTTGTGTTTCATTGTACAGTTGGTTGCATAACTTGATCCCACAGTGTTGTAGTTGTTGGAGGCGCTAGTAGTTCTAATTCGGAGTCAGCCCAGCCGGATTGTTCGGCGTCGCTGACTGCAGCCCTGCAACTGATGTCGCTAATTGTCGCCTCGCCTGAAACTGAGCAAGCGAGGAGACGCGCACACGTTGAGCAACATTTGCGATGCGCTACGTTCGTCGGAATACTCTTAGTTTTAAGTGAGAGCGAACGAAAGTCTTTTACGTCTTTACACATACCTCGTGGATAAACACCTTTTCAGAAATAATCTATAATGTAAAAATATGTTGGAAAGCGCATAACTCAACAACGCCTAGACCAATTTGGTCAATTCTTTTTTTTAATGTTTGTTAAAGTCCAAGGATGATTTTTACGGCGAGAAAAATTTGAATAATTGCCGGGAAAACCCTAAAGACAGCCCTTTTCTATAGGATTAAAGTTAGCATTGAGATTCAATCATAGTTATAGTTAAATAGTTGAATCCGAGATGGCGCGCTGAAGTGCATTATTAGCAATTCTTTATAGAATTAATTTCTTTAAAATAAAATTGCAAATCTTATTGATAGAATTGACACATACTATGTCTAGAACAAGGGAGTAAAAACGAATTACATTTTTTTAACCAATACCTGGACGAAATCGCGGGTAAAAACTAGTTTCTAAAATTTTTAATCGTTTTAGTTACCAGCGCCATCTAAAGATTTTCATCGGAACTAATTAAACACTACTTTTATTCTTTCCACAGTGTATATATTTGCTGCATACAACTTTCCACGTTCACCGCTTACGTCTAAATATCGCACATGCATAACATTAAATAGTTTTGCTGTCTTGTCGAGTAGTTTTCAATTAAGAGTTATCCCAGTCGCTCCAATTGGATTAGTCGCGGTGTGCGCTAAACGCGTCGCGACGCTCTCGCACATAAACACACACCTACTCACCCATATTCCAACCCTCGACTGGTGTACACACAATATATCATCTATTTGTCCTTTGTGTTGTGCTATCATCGTTTGCATCGACGCATGGCACAAACACGAGTAGATTCTCGGCTTCCATTACTCTAAACAGGCCAAACATTCGAAACTCAAATGTTGGCGCGTGAGCTTTCGGAGGACACTGGGCGATGTGGTGGGGATGCGTGTGTGAGTGTGTGTTACAATGGTAGATTATTAACTCAACTCTACATTGTTTCCTTAAGATTGAACTTTAGAGCATATTATACTCTGATGTATACAAGTTAAATTGCATTTTGTGCTAATAGGTGGCGCTTTACAATACATACAATTGAATGTGTAAGTGGCACAAGGTATGCAACACTGTTTTCTTTTAAAATTAGTTAAAAATCAATTGTTTTCAACCTAAAACATCAAAAATTCATTTTTGAAAAACATCGTATCGTATGCAACCAACATTACACTTCAACTTAACCAAGTCTGTTGTTTTTTGTGTTACTAATTTAATGTAAAAAATATTTTTTTTATGAAATAGTGACCTACACGTGAAACAAACCTGTAACCTGCTTGCCACGTGTCAAAATGACATTTCCCTTGGACGTATATTTGAAGGTTCATGAAATTCGCATTACGCCCGCCGCCATTATGTGCGCCAACATCCGCTAAGTGAGTTGAAACCGTCGTCGAGAAATGCGCGCTACACGTGTCGCATTGACACGCGTGCATGCCGTTGACAGCTCTGTCTGCACTTGGTAACAAGTCGTAAAGCTTATCCGATGACGCAAGCGTTTTCACACAGTTTGCAATTTTCACGTCGTAAATTTGCATTCATCCACTTAGGTATTCCGAGAATAAATAATGCAGAACTTTAATTAATTACTCTTTAAATATTTATAACTTAAAGTAGGTTGGCTATTAAAACTACTACACTTGCGCAGACACTAAATAAATTAATATTTTATAAGGATCAATGTTTGAGTTGCGATATAAATACCGAACAATACATAAATAGTTCAATTTAAAAGCGATTTAATAATTTTATTATAAAACATCATAAATATTTTTAATGTAAATTAAATATGTAAATATGGTGAATGTAATTTTTAGTAAATTATTTTAAACACGCTTGTAATTCACATAATACAAAATTGATTTTCATTCATTTTTCACAATAAAACAAAATTTTAACTTTACGATGTGTTTATAATAAACTCGCAAATATTCGTGCAATATATTTACAACGTGTGCCCGCGACAATGTGTCAATTTTATCACTAAGATATTCAATTTTCTTTTAAAGAAATTAATTATATAATGAATTGCTAATAATGCACTTCAACGCGCCATCTCAGATTCAACTATTTAACTATAACTATGATTGAATCTCAATGCCAACTTTTATTCTATAGAAAAGCTGTCTTTATTGTTTTCCCGGCAATTATTCAAATTTTTCTCGCCGTAAAAACCATCCTTGAACTTTAACGAACATTAAAAAAAGAATTGGCCAAATAGGTCTAGGCGTTGTTGAGTTATGCGCTTACCAACATACTTTAATTCATTTTTATATTATAGATTAATAAAAAATTAACCTCAAATCTACCGTAATCACACGAACACTAAACTTTCCTCCGCGTGCTTTGTACGCATTCATTTTTTTGACGCGTGTAATTAAAAACAAGTGGCGCTGCCGTTTTATGAAGCGTGCGTAATAATGTCAACAATTTAAATTTTGGATTACACACCGCCGCTGACACAACAAAAACGTTTTGTCGCGCACCAAATTGAACGCAATTTCGACAATACATCAAAGGCGTGGTGGACTGCGCTCGCGCGCGTTTTTACCCCGGCTGATTGAAGCACAGAACGGAATTCAACTGAACACAGAGCAGCCAACAACAAACTTCACTACGGCTGGATGAAATAGAGAGAAAAACCGTAACAAAGCAAAAAAACGCATTCGCAATTGGTAACATTGTGTAGCGACAGCTTTGCAAACGCTTTTTCGGTAGCTTACGTACGTTTTATCAAACAAACATGGCCGCTAAACACACACAGCATACACGTGTATACATGTTTTGGTTGATTGAGGTTAAAAACGTTCATATAAATAAGTTAGACACCGACTTTCACAACTTTCACACTCTGTCAATCCTATTTGAACACATATAATATTAAATTTGGTAATTCTCGTTGAAACTGTCACATTGTCACATTGTGAAAATGTGACTTTTGAAGTTGTTGTCGACTTATTATTACCGTACCGTCACGGCCCAACAAGACCAGAGCACAAGAGGTGTCGTGTTTTCTTGAATGGAACAAAGAGTGCTCTCCTAATTCGACTTAATAAACGTGAAGATTTTAATTTGAGTTTGCGCGCGCCCCGCGTGTCGCCGTCGCCGGCAACGATTTTTAATTACCTGTTGGCAACTTTTAATTAACATCTTCAACACGCGCGTTGTCAGCAGCGTCTCGCGTTCTGAGTGTCAACAAGTCGTAGTATTGTGTGTACTTTGTATTGAGGACAATTCATTCGGAATTACGGGATGAAAGTATTGAAATTATACCGTAAAATGTTGAATTAAATCATTAAAATTATTAATTTGCTTAATAAAATTTTATTCAAAGAATTGAAACATAAAAATAAAATGTTTTTGGAT